AATAAAGGAAAATTAAAAAAAAAAAAGACTGGTGACACATAAGAGCTACTTCTTGGAATAAGTTCAAAGTCAGGTTTGCGAAACAGGACCCACATCTTTGAGAAGGGACAGGACGACCTAAGATTTCACTCAAAATCATGCAAGACTACTGTGCATGGCTTTTCCTCTAAGCCGTGGGTTCCCAGGCGGGAAAGGTCACTTTGCAATAGGATGGGTCTAGGAAGAACTCACACGTGGTTGGAAGTGAGCCAGATGCCCAGTGATGAGTAGGTACAGGAAGGAAGAAAAGGGAGTGAGGGGATGTGGGGAGGGATATGGGCATTTCAAGTGGGAATTACACTGTGGTGACAGTCGGAGGTGTGAGCTTGGAGGGAGACCTGGAAAGAAGTGACTAGGGGTAGAGGCTGGTGAATCAGCAGCAGAAAGGAGCAAAGTGAAGACACGAGGCCCTGGGAGTGGCCCCAAGGGGGCAGAGGGTCCCATCCTGCATCTTGGGAGATCAGCCCCGGTGGCAGTAAGCCCCTGAGGGTAGGGACCATGCATGCCTTGTTCGCCATTGTTTCCAAAGCCGAAAAGAAGGCCTGACACAAACCCTCAATGAATATTTATTGAATAGATGAAAGGGAGAAAAATCAGCACTGTGTGAATGACTCAGATGCTAACGAAGACGAGGGACCCAAAGGAATATGCTCAAGTTTTACCAAGAGAACTCAGGGGTTCCTGGGGAAACAGAGCTATGAGACAGGGAATGTGAAGAGGTATAACGCTGAGTGGAAGGGGACAATGTCTGAAAGGGGAGGTGAGAGCAAAGGATGGCTGGCCAGGGTCAGAGAGTCTCTGACTACCGGCCCACCAGGAGGGGAGAGGTCAAAGGGAGGAGTGGAGAGCTGGGAATGCTGACGCCGGGAAGATGGGGCCCCGTACCCTCTGAGACAGAAACAACCTGAGAATAAAGGCAGACAGCCCGGCCTGGGGACAGAGGGCAGGAGGGGAGGGTGACATGGCTTAGCACCCCCCAGCTAGCCTCTGCTCTCTCAACCGAGAGGCAAAGTTGTCCTCTGAGAATGGGTTTGGGAAAAGGGGATGAACAGAGAACCCCAGGGCCTTGAACAGAGCCGAAGAGCCTTCCAACCGAGCAACGGGCAAGAGGCAAAGCATGACTCCTAACACAGCCGCCTGCAGTCCAGCCCAGCACAGGCAACACAACTGCAGCCCAGAGCAGTCACAAGGGGGACAAAAGTCACCTAGTGCCCAACGTTGCTACAAATAGCTTGACACTTCTCCCCAGTGACCCACCTAGACCGGCCCCTTGCTGTCTCATTCAGAAGGGCCTAGCCTCAAATTGGCTGTGTGACATGGAGGGCTGTACCGGTTTCCTGATGCTTTCGAGCATCAGGGGGCTTTAAATAAATAATGAGGGCTGCCTCACTAGACTGCAGATTCTATATCCAACCCGGAAGAGCAGCATCTTTATTCAGCTCTTCCAGAACCCCTGGAAAGACGGAATAAATTTAGAATAAAGACAATGCCAAATGCAGAGCACTCGGGAACATAGGTGAGGGGCTGCAAGCATCTGATAACGGATGGTACTAGGTGAGCTCTACACATCCTTGCAGCCCTGACACACTATGAAAAATGCTATGGACCAGACTGAAGACAGAGAGAAAGTGAGAGGGCAGGAGAGGAGCAGCGTCTTAATCACTCCAGCCAGAAAGGTCCCACCGTTTATGATAAACACATGTGTAAAGAAAGAAAAGCACTTCTGTGCTAAATCCATCAACGGAGGACTTGCGGAAATGAGGCCTAAAGTCAGGTAGCTACTATGTCCCTGCGATTTCTTCCCACAGTCCGCATTGTTAAATGGGACGAGAAAGGACTCAGATGGGAGACCCCCCACCCCAGGGCCCCAAGATGTGAGCATTTCTCCTCCCTTAATCCCCTGCTTCTTGCCGTCTCCCCCCGAAGGAGTGACCCCAGCCCCGTCTGCAGCATCATAAACGTTCACTGCTTATTTATCTGCCAAGGCACATGTGGTTTTAATTATTTATGATAGTGTTTCATCGCACATGGGGATGTGTCTTGGAGTCCCTTCCCTTGACTGATGAAGCCTTTGTAATCAGAGACCTGCTGCTTCCCAGCCGGTAAATCTCAGCGAGGAGAGGGCCAGGCGTTCCCTTCCAGGACTGTGTGAGTCAGCCATGGATTTGCAGAGGGCGGATTAGCCAAATCCGGTTACAAGGCTCCTGCACGTTGTTTGTCCTTGCCACACGTGTTTTCTGAAAACAATTAAGAGCCACCCATTGTCTACCGAGAGGACAAAATGTACCGCTTCCCTGAAAAGGGTATCTTCCCTAATATCAGAGGGTTTGGATAAGCTGGATTCATCCAGGGATTTTGCTCTGATGAGGTCTTGTTTGTTCCCTACTCCCTCAAATCTTGTCACTAAACCTGCTTCCTCTCTGTCTCCGCCGACCCCTTCCTGTGTACACAGAAGTGCTGTCTGGACGTAGAAAGGCTGCCTGCTTTGAGTCACAAACACAAGGAGCTGTGGAGACGCTTCTCCTGTGCACCGTTTCCCAGGGCGACAGCTCCTTGGCTGGGTGCTGGGTCCTGACATCAAAGGACACTCAGAACCCACCGGTCTCTCCACGGTGCCCACTCATTCTGATGGCCCAGAGGGATCCTCCTCCCCACATGCCAGATTCGCCCCATCTGGAAACTATGCCACCACCTGGTATCAGGAGCCCGTGGGACCCTACTCTACCCCAGGGCCCAGAGCTTCCACGACAGGGAACAAAGCCCATTCTCATTTTTCCCGGATTCTGTCTTTGTGAATTCACCTACTCACTACAATTTATGTGCAACCCCAGAACACACACACACACAGCGCTTTCACAGTCATTCACAAACATTCGAGAAGCGGTGACAAATTTGAGTCACCCCACGTGCACATTCCCGGCTGAGGTTAAAAAGCCATGCTCTGCTTTCTCGTTTCAGCTCTCATACTGTAAACAAGTGTCCTTCTCGTGGTCTATCCAACGCCACCTTTTTTGCATATATGTGCTTTTCGTGGGTGAGATTTCAGTTTAAAGCAGCCCCCAAGCATAGTGCTGAAGCTCTGTCTAGTGCTCCTATGAGTGAGAAGGCTGCGATGTGCCTTACGGAGAAAAGAGGTGTGTTTGATAAGCTTTGTTCAGGCATGAGTCATAGTGCTGTTGGCCACTATGAGTTCAATGTGAAGGAACCAACAGTATGTATTAAGGTGTCTTTAAACAGAAGCACACATAATACAGGTTACGTCCTGATCAGCTGATAAAAGTGCTGTGACCAGAGGCTTGCATGAACCTAACCCTGGATTCCCCCTAGGAACAATGGTCCAATGTTCGCTAATTTAGTGGTCAAAGTGACTTTACAGAATACTTGGAATAACGAGAATCAGTTGTATATTCAACAGCAATGCCAAGCCTCTATTCAAATATCAATATCACTCTAGAAAGCTCAGCAGTGCCAACCCTGGACCGAGCTTGGACCCATGCTACCATCCCAGAAGGGCTTTCCTCCCAGCCTCACCGAGGTCAGTCCAGGATGACCCTGATCTGAGGTGAGCGCTTTAGCCAGAGTAGAACCATTCTTTGCACTGTCTTCCCCACTGTTTATCTGAAATGCAGGTATCTTTCTTCCCTTGCCCAGCCCTGGTCCAGAACCCAAGTACCCTTCCTCTAACTGGTACTGATGGGGGAGTCTGATAAACACTGAGACAGATTCTGGAGGACATCAAGGTTGGGAGGCAAATGATGACCTTACCCTGATTTTAGCCCAGTCCCTCCCACTGTGGCGATCATCTCACTAAAAACAGAGGCAGAAACACAGAAGCAAAGGTGGACAGGGTGGCTGGATGCCCACTCTGCTATAAGATGGACGAGTGGGGGCAGCAAGAGTTCTGTGAGCTACAAAGAGCATAGCCCAAGTATAGAGAGCTCCGCCAGCAGGGAGAGCAAGACCAGAGGCATTTCTTCCTAGGCTGACCTGGGACTAGCTGACCAGACAAAGAGAACAGATTGGCAGAAGCCCACGGGCAGGGAAGGAGGACTCACAGCCTCCCAGAGCCTCGGGTTTCCTGTCTGTAGATGAGGCCTTAACCTACCCCATCCCTTCTGTCCCTTCTAGCTCTAAGGCACTCTCCAGGTGTCTCTGTTCCCTCTCCTGACATAGCTGACCGTTTCTTGGGAGCAGAAGCCATGGGAGGGGAGGGGTGTGCACTGTAGTCGCTGAGCCTAGATTGAGCCTGGGGACACAGCAAGGGAAACAGCTGCTGGATGGAGGGCCAAGCCACGGAGGCACCAGGAATGGGGAGAGGCCCTAGCAGACTCAGCAGAAATACAAAGGGAGGGGCTGAACCACCAGGAGGAAAGAGAGATTAGGAAGCAGGTGCCCTGAGCCCTCTGATCTGAAGGAGACATCTGTAGCGGGGAGGGGAAGGGCCCTAGCACAGGGGCCATGATCTGATTCTCAGAACGTGCACTTCGGGGCACTGGAGGGGCAGCTAGAGAGAGGTTTCCATTCGAAAGGTCCTCACCGCCCTTCACTCCCTTCCCCTCTAGTGGAGGCTGGGGCAGCAGGTCTGACGAACTCAGGGGCTATTGTCTGGACAGAGTCAGGTTACATTTCCTGAATACACAGGCCAGGTGCACAGGTACAACCAGCCGTGTCTGTGCCCCCTGCCTTACTGGGAGCACCTCTCCAGGTGGGGCTGGGCCTCCTGCCTCCAGGCTGCTCCCCGCCCCGCCCCGAGCCCGCTCTGCCCAGGGGACTCTGTCCCAGTGGTGTCCCCTCGCCCAGGCTATTCTTCAAGTTTTGAAACAAAGAGGGAGGGTCTCTTAGAGAGTGGGAGGTTATCAGGTGGTAGGTCACCCCAGAAGGTTCCAGAACCCCAGCTACGTGGTCTATCGCCATGCCACCCTCCCTCCCCAGAAGGGACAACATTCTACTGTGGTACTCACATGTGTCTGGCTTGTGGCAGTTGTGTCCCTGACGGAAGTACTGGGGGTTCTCAATGACCGGGATGCGAGTCATGCCGATGACCACTGTGTCCGGCCCGGCATCCAGAGATGAGGGCGTGGTGATGCCATGGTTGATGTGATGCAGCGGGCTGGCTGAGTCCTCCTCACCACTGATGACAGCCACAGGACCTGCACACACCAGGAGAGACACAGGACCCCGGTGAAGTCACATCCAGCCAGTGCCCAGCCCCGCCCACAGACCTTTGCACTATTTTTTCCACCACATTTTCCATAGGAGCAAAATCCATTGGAAGAGTATTCCCCGAATGCTCTGGATTCTGAATTGAGAATAACCGCTTAATTCTCTTTCATGAGAGGGAGAAAAATCTACCTCATCACACCATGGAAACAGCTGCAAAATAAGAGTGAATCTAAATGATTATGACATGAAGTACCCCCACTTTCCCCAAATCCAAATTAGTTCAAAATCATTAAAAGTTCAAATAAGTTTCTTTGCTTATATAACAACAACAGGATTTTAAAAATGACCTAGCGGTAGTATGCAGCCTGTCCCTTGTCTCTTCAAGAGCTTTCAAAACTGCTGATGCTGGGTCCCACCCTCAAAGATTCTGATTCAGTTGGTCTGGGGATGCAACTTGGGCATCAGGATTTAAAAGCTCCCTTGTGAGTCCCAAGTCCAGCTAAGATCTGGAGCCTCTCTTTAGGGCCTTGGAGGCTGAGAACCTTTCCAGAGTGGCCATCAGATGCCCACAGGAGTATGAAGTAACTTTCCCTGGATTCTGCTATCAACCCTCCCCGGTCCACAGACAGATAAGCCCAACGTGGGCTTGGATCTAACTCCGGCCAGCTTTCGCAAGCGACAGCACTCAGGCTGCAATACTATTAGCCTACAGACAGCTGGGCCAGCTGACCCACTCTTGAAAGTTCCATATTTGCCCCAATGGCTTCAGAGAACACCATTTGCATCTTCACCAACCCTAACGCCACCATATTCTAACCCAAAGAAGAAAACCAGTAAATAAGGTGATTTGCGAACACAAGTTGAGAAAGATGATTAATGCTGCTGTCTTGGTAGAGAAATGATTCTGTTTGGTGGTGTGATTCTCCCATAAGTACAAATAAAACTCCTGTAAAGTGAATTAGCTGTGACTGTTTGTGGCTTTCTACAAGTGGCATTTTAAATGGCTGCTTTGCAAGACACATGGTCCCAAGACAAAACACCTGCTGTGATTTGGTTTTGCAGCTTTTGAACAATATTTCCACTGCAGAAATCCACTTACATCTTACTGAAGTTTATGGGGAGAATATTTCCCATCAAATAGCAAGGTGAAGCGCCAATGAGACAGAACTAAGTGGAGGATGGGTAAATGCAAACTGAGGACCCTGAATTCCACTCCGTCAGCACAGACAGGCTTATTTCAATCCACGACAAATGTCTGACTGTGCCTGGAGACCATGTGAAAAAAGGAGCAGTAAGGGGTTGCCCAAATACTCGCAGGCATCATGTGCCTTGCAAAAAGAGGCCAGTTCTCGAAAATACCTTGTAAACTTTTTTGAAACACTTCACAGTGATTTCCAGTTAAACATGAAATGCTGAACACTGGTCTTTAGCCTGCTCACCCCAAATGCTATTAACATACAAAGGAATTAAAGAAATACTGGTGCACAAAGAGGAACAGGGGAGATAAAGAGGAAATTAGATGTTTCAACAACGTTTTGGAAGATGAGAAACCAAAGGAGGAGAAGCTCGCTTACAGAGAGGAGGAAGATAGGGAAGAAAGGACCACCAGGTCTGCGGCAGGGAATCATGACAGGAAGTCAGTTCTGCTGGGGAGACCCGGTACTTGAAGGGTCAGGGGACCAAGGAAGGCTGCAGTGAGGCTCGGGGCTGGAACAAGTCACCCCGGCCATCACCTCCCCGCCATCCGTCAGAGCCTAGTGGTTTCATCCCAGAGAAATTGAACCTGAAACATTCAGGGGAGGGCTGGGGTGAAGCACGAGGCAGAGCTCCTTCTTCTTGCTCCTAAAACAACAGAAACGGGACTTCCCTGCTGGTCCAGTGGTTAAGAATCCTCCTTCCAACACAGGGGACGTGGGTTCGATCCCTAGTCAGGGGATTAAGATCCCACATGCCGTGGGGCAACTAAGCCCACGTGCTCTAGAGCCCACGCGCCACGACTACTGAGCCCATGTGCTCTGGTGCCTGCTTGCCGCAACTAGAGAAGCCCACGTGCCACAAGGAAGAGCCTGCACAATGCAATGAAAGATCCTGCGTGCCGCAATGAAGATCCCGCGTGCCGCAACTAAGACCTGACGCAGCCAAATAAATAAATAAATATTTTAAAAATAATAAATAAAACAACAGAAACCAGGAACAACACTGCTTACCCAGCCACCTCACCCTTGGTCTTGCCTCAAATACTGCCACCCCAGAGGAGATTACAGAATGCTTCTCTGCAGAAACTAAATGCCTTAGAATGGACTTCTGGAGAGTGACATGTGAGGGTCTCCCAAGGAAGTCGAGCTTACATGGCAATCATGCCTTAGTGAAGCGGGACAGTTGACAAGCCCCATCGTGCACACAAAGCAGGATCTTATTAGCTTTCTAGTGTTCAATTCCTAAATACGAAGAAACAGTCCAGGATCACCAGACACTTCAGCAAAGCTTCAGCATGAAAGAGGGGCACAAGACACATAACCAGGGACCTGCAGGAAGCAGAGGCAATTCAGGGAGCAGGAGATTTTTTTTTTTTTTTTTTTTTGCGGTACGCGGGGCTCTCACTGTTGTGGTCTCTCCCATTGCAGAGCACAGGCTCCGGACGCGCAGGCTCAGCGGCCATGGCTCACGGGCCCAGCCGCTCCGCGGCATGTGGGATCTTCCTGGACCGGGGCACGAACCTGTGTCCCCTGCATCGGCAGGCGGACTCCCAACCACTGCGTCACCAGGGAAGCCCTAGCAGAAGACTTTTTAAAAAATATCTTCAGCAAGATAAATGAAGACATTGCATCCAGAAAACAAGATGATACTTTAAAATGACCAATTAGAAGGTAAGAAAGAATCCTTGAGAATTGTGATCATCAAAATCTGAAAGTCATAGAAGAATGGAAGATAAGTCAAGAAAATGTCCCAGAAAGTCAAACAAAAAGGAAAAATGTGGTAAACAGGAAAGAAAAGATATGAAAATTAAAGACTCGATCTAGAGATCCAACAACTGATTAAAAGGAGAGAGAGAGAAAGAGAGAGAGAGAGAGGGAGAGGGACAGAAAGAGAAAGATGAAAGGCCAAAATAAAAAAATATGGAAAAATTTGCCGAAAATATTATCTACGCAGTTCCCAGAACAATTAACACATACACGAGAGCATGGATTCATGTGCATGCGTGCACACACGGGTGCATACACACACGGGTGCATACACACACACACACACAGACACACACACACACCAAGACACAAAGTTATGAAATGCCAGAACCATGAGGATAAAGAGAAGATGCTAAAAGCTTCCAGGAGGATGGGACAGGTCATATTTCAAAAGGAACAGGAATCAGAAAGACAGCCTAATTCTCCATGAAAACCTAATACTGTTACGGTAACTGAGCAAATTCCTTCAAAATTCTGATGGACAAATTTTCAACCTAGAATTCTATCCCTAAAAATGTATCCACCCATAGTAAGGGCAAAAGGGACATATTTGCAGACATGTAAAAATTTACCTCACCCTTTCTTAGGAAGTGATGTGAAGTGGAAAGTTCAGCAAAACAAAGGGGAAAAAAAGGAGAGGGGAGTCAGGGATCCAGTTCTCAAAAGACCAAACAACAGAAGGCCCCTGACACATTGGCCTCTTCTGTTCTCAGCATTACAGGACATGGGTTGTTACAGCAACATGGAGGAAGGACACCAAATCAGGAGGAGTTTGGAGAAGACAGAACATTGGACATCCGAATCTGCTTTCATCAAGTCAATGGACAAAGCGAGTGATCAACAAAATGGTCCAAAAGCCTGTGCTTTAAAACAGTGTCAGCTTTCTCGACATTATTTATTCTGGAATCTGAAAAGGGCTGGGGAAAGAGCCATGGGTAGAAGTGTCCTTCTATAGTCTCCCAAGCGATGGAGAGGATGGATAGGGAGGCCCACAGAGACCTGACAGAAATAAAAGAATAAAGCAGACTAAGAAGCCCTGGAGGACCCACTACTTAAAAAGCAGGCGGAGAAAGGGGAGCTGAAAAAGGAGAATGAGAAGAAATGGCCAGAGAAGGCTGTTGTCTTAGAAGTCAAAGTAGGAGAACTTCCGGAAGCTGAAGAGCATCACGTACAGAGGCCAAGTAAGATGAAGAATGAAATCAGGCCACTGCATTTGACAATAAGAAGGCGGCTTTAATGAGAGCAGTTTCCACACAACAGTAGAGGAAAATATATTATAGTGGGTTGAAGAGCTAGACAAATCACCATCATCATCATTTTTATCATTGAGTGCTTCCTACGTATCATGCTCTGGAAAGGTAACTTCTTTGCCTTTATACTTTTATACCTTTATGTGCAACCAGCATCCACTCCAAGAATCGATCTCCCTTCCCAAGTCTGGCTGATTCACCTGTCCCTTGCCTCAGGGGGAAACCCACAGACCTGTGGTCCCTCTGGGAAAGGAAGCATTTCTTCTTACCTGAATATCCACAGAAAAGAATTTATTAAGATACAAAGAAGGGACAAGTAATTCAGGGGACATCTCAGCTGTGTGGGGAGATGTCTTCTATTTTCTATTTTCTGAGCCCTAAGGCAGGTCAGGAGGAGTCAAGCTTGCTGTCTTCTTAGCTCTCAACACACACACACAGACTGTCTAGTATCTGTGATGGGCCTCTCTGCTGTCACTAATCCATTCCTAATTGCACATTTATTTTGGTATGCAGCACTAATAAACAAAAAGAAGGAAACAGGTTTATAGCCCTTCTGGTAAGTTCAAGCTTTTGAGAGAGACCTGAAGGAAGACACTCCCATCACATGATTCTCTTCCCAAATAGGTGCCTTTTTTCCCCTTCAGACCTATGGTGGGTTTTGTTCCTCCAATCACACCGTAATAGAACCATTAGATAATTAGAGACAGCTTGATGGCCCCGACAGGTGTCCTGCCCAGCAGGATGGTCCAAACTGTCTTTCCAGAGTCTCTCTCT